AATCCAAACCAAAAAAAAAAAAAAAAAAAAAAGAATATTTAGGCAAAGCCTCAGGCCAATAGTATAGCAACAGGTGTCAGCAAAACTTGAACAGCATCAAAAATAATCAGCATCAAAGTGAAAAAAATCCTGAGTACGCTGGGTTTTTTTTCCTTGAGTTGGTGTCTCTGTCACACAGTCTGTGCAGTGGCACAATCACAGCTCACCATAGCCTCGACCTCCTGGGCTCAGGTGATCCTTCCACCTCAGCCTCCAGAGTAGCTGGGACTACAGGCAGGTACCACCATGCCTGGCTAATTTTTTGTAGAGATGAGGTCTCACTATGTTGCCTAGACTACATTGCTTTTTATCCTCTGAGCAGACACTAAAAAGAGGGTCTTATTAACCGTGGTATACAGATATGTCACTGGGACTTGGGAAGCAGTGTCTTAGGACAGACAAGTTGGGAGGGTATATTCTAGGAATTTCTATTGTTAACATGGGAGCCACCAGAACCAGAAGAACCAGGGGAACAGGCCAGCCAGCTTCCTATCTTCTAGAACAAGGTCTCACTCCCCCATCTCCCAGCATTGTTCCTAGAAGCACAGCTGGCATTAGATGAGCGCCTAAGCAGGCCCAAGTTGCTTTTTCCCGTACATGCTAAATATCTGGGGATTATTTGTAGCAGATACTTCAGAGGCTCATTTCCACGTTTTTAATTTAAACAGCTGTTCCTCAGGAATAGCAAAAAAAACTGTGAAACCAATTTTCGATCTTGGGAGTCCAGGGAAGCGATGATATCCCAAGAAACGTTTCCTGGCCTCTGAGAAGAACCACTGCAGAGACAAACTTTCAGCAACAGATGGGGAAACACAGTTCTTAACTCAATTTGAGGATGGAGATATGAAAAGCAAGGATGGCAGTGGAACGGGAAAAAAATTTTTTCACTAAAACTCAGATGCTGGCATCAGACCCCAGGATATGAGTTGGCCCTGACCCACGTAAATTAGGAGAACTCTGCTTCACATGAGACCACAAAAAGGACTGATGTTTCTGTAGCCTAATAAATTGACCACTATACTACCTGGAAGTGAACTCACATCCACTTTTCCTCATGCGAATCAAGCAAGAAAGCCAAAGTACCAGCAGCCAGCGACCACAGCCAGGAGAAAGAGCTTATGTAGGACAGAGGAGCTGCAAATTGTCCCAGCTTCCTTGAGGAGCCAAGAACTCAAATTTTGAAGCTACAGTGATTCTTACAAAGCTACTTATTTCTCTAAGCCCCATCAGAAAAAAGCTTGTATTTCCCCTTCAAGCTACCTCCCCAAAAATACTTCCCTCCCTGGTCCCTGGCCAAGAGTAGGGTAAGGCATGTGGAAACACAAGCCAGAACTCCCTCTACTGGTTTTTTTGGTAAATGCCTCCATGGCCAGGGCAGAGAAAACAGGGCTTCCCCTCTACTCTATCCCTTGCTGGTTCTTCCCAGAGCGTTGCAGGGTATCATTACCACTGGTGACATTCGGCACTCTCATCCCCCTTCTCCAGAGCAGCCTCTGCTTCTTCTTTTCCTGTAGGACAAAGGTAGATCTAGAGTTGACATGGACTCCATGCACACTTAGAAAAGAGTGGAGAATGACTGCTGTAGCTCTCAACAATCCCGACCTGACTTGGACTTGTTGGGAAATAGTTGCAAGCTTGAACAGAATAAAAGCCCATCTGTAGCTTCTAAAGGACAACTTCTGCTTCATCTCAGCCTCCCCATCTCTCTGTCATCTGCAGCCCCAGCTACCTTTTTTTTTTTTTTTTAAGTTGGAGTCTCACTCTGTCACCCAGGCTGGAGTGCAG